AAACATACAGAAGGACAACAGGTACATGAAAAGAGGCTCAACTTTTCTAAACACCAGTGTCTATCAAAACTATAATGAGCTATCACCTCACATCTATTAGAATGGTTAAAATCAAAATAGCAAGAAATAACAAGTGTTGGTGAGAAAGTGGAGAAAAGGAAGCCCTCATGTACTGTTTGTAAGAAGGAATTGGTAAAGTCACTATGGAAAACAATATGAAGGATTCTCAAAAAATTAAAATGGAACTACCATGTGATCCAGCAATTCCATTTCCAGGTATTTATCTGAAGAAAACAAAAATACTAACTTGAAAAGATATATGCATCTCTATGTTCATTGCAGCACTATTTACAATAGCCAACATATGAAAATAACCTACATGTCTATTGGCAGATGAAGGGATAAACAAAATGTGATACACACACACACACATACACACACACACACACATATCACATATATATACTCAACGGAATATGATTCACACATTAAAAAGTATGAATTTTTGCCATTTGCAACAACATGGATGGAGCTAGAGTATTATGCTAAATGAAATAAGTCCATCAGAGAAAGACAAATACCATATGATTTCCCTAATATGTGAAATTGAAGAAACAAATGAACAAAGGGGGGGGAAGAGAGGGAGGCAAACCAAGAAACAGACTCTTAACTATAGAGAACAAACTGATGGTTACCACAGGGGAGGTGGGTGAGAGATGGGTTAAACAGGTGATAGGAATTAAGGAGGGCACTCGTGCTGAGCACCTCGTGTTGTATGGAAGTGTTGAATCACTATATTGTACACTTGACACTAATACTACACTGTATGTTAATTAACTGGGATTTAAATAAAAACTTAAAGTCTATTTCAATCCTCTGCCCATTTTTAAACTAGTTTTGTTTTTTGTTTTTTGGTTTTTTTTTTGCTACTGAGTTGTATTTGATCTTTATATATTTTGGATATTAACCCATTATCTGATATATGGTTTGTAACTATTTTCTCCCATTCTGCAGGTTGGCTTTTCACTTTGTTGATGGTTTTCTTTGTGTGCAGAAACTTCTTAATTTGGTGTTGTCCCCTTTGTTTATTTTCACTTTTGCTGCCTTTGTCTTTGGTGTCAAATCCAAAAAAAATCACCATCAAGACCAACATCAAGAAGCTTATGGCCTATGTTTTCTTCTAGAAATTTTATGTTTTCAGGTCTTACATTCCTACCTTTAATCCATTTTGAGTTAATTTTTTGTATGGTGTGAGATAGTAATGTAGTTTCATGCCTTTGCATATTGCTGTCCGTTTATTAAAGAGTCTGTCTTTTTCCCATTTTATATTCTTGGCTCCTTTGTCATAAATTAAATTTTTTTATTATGTTATGTTAATCACCATACATTACATCATTAGTTTTTGATGTAGTGTTCCATGATTCATTGTTTGCGTATAACACCCAGTGCTCCATGCAATACCTGCCCTCTTTAATACCCACCACCAGGCTAACCCATCCCCCCACCCCCTTCCCTCTAGAACCCTCAGTTTGTTTCTCAGAGTCCATAGTCTCTCATGGTTCGTCTCCCCCTCCAATTTCCCCCTCTTCATCTTTGTCATAAATTAGATGACCATATATGCATGGGTTTATTTCTGGGCAGTCTATTCTGTTCCATTGATTGATGTGTCTATTTTTTAATGCCATTATCATACTGTTTTGATTACTATAGCTTTGTAACATAGTTTGAAACTAGAGACCATGATGCCTCCAGCTTTGTTCTTCTTTCTCAAGATTGCTTTTGGCTCTTCAGCACTACAATTTTTGCTTTTAGTAGTCAGTAAAGATATTAAGAAATAAAAAAAACACCATATTTTATCTTTACCCATACATGGTAGGCTAAATAATGGTTCCATCATAGATATCTTAATCCCCAGAAACCGTGACTATATAACTATGTGGCAAAAGGGAATCTGCAGATATGATTAAGTTAAAGATCTTCAGATGGGAAGATTATTCTGAAATATCTGGTTTGGCCTAATGTAATCACAAGGGTCCTTGTAAGAGGGAGGAGAGAGGATAATAAAGAAAAGACAGTGTGTTCATGGAAGCAGAGGAGAAGAGATTAGAATGGTATGGCTCCAACCAAGGAATGCAGCAGCCTCTAGAAGCTAAAAAAAGCAAATACCCAGTATGTCCACAATAGCCAAACTATGGAAAGAGCCAAGATGTCCATCAACAGATGAATGGATAAAGAAGATGTAATACACACACACACACACACACACACACACACACACACACACACACACAATGGAATATTATGCAGCCATCAAAAGGAATGAAATCTTGCCATTTGCAATGACATGGATGGAACTGGAGGGTGTTATGCTGAGCGAAATAAGTCAATCAGAGAAAGACATGTATCATATGACCTCACTGCTATGAGGAATTCTTAATCTCAGGAAACAAACTGAGGGTTGCTGGAGTGGTGGGGGTGGGAGGGATGGGGTGGCTGGGTGATGGACACTGGGGAAGGTATATGCTATGGTGAGCGCTGTGAATTGTGTTAAGACTGATGAATCACAGACCTGTACCTCTGAAACAAATAATACATTATATGTTAAAAAAAAAAGAAGAAGATAGTAGGAAGGGAAAAATGAAGGGGGGGAAATCAGAGGGGGAGATGAAACATGAGAGCCTATGGACTCCGAGAAACAAACTGAGGGTTCTAGAGGGAAGGGGCAGTGGGGGGATGGGTTAGCCCAATGATGGGTATTAAGGAGGGCACATATTGCATGGAGCACTGGTGTTATATGCAAACAATGAATCATGGAACACTACATCAAAAACTAATGATGTAATGTATGGTGATTAATATAACATAAAATAAAATAAAAAAAGAAGCATAAAAAAAAGAAGGTAAAAAAGGCAAGGAACAAAATCTTTTCAATAGATTCCAGAAGGAAAGTAGTTCTGTCAACATCTTGATTTTCAGACTTTTGATCTCCAAAACTGTAAGATAATACACTTACATTGTTTTAAGCCAATAAACTTGTGATAATTTATAACAACAGCAACTGTGGACTAACAGTCCATATATTTATCATTTCTGGTGTTCTTTTTTTGTCTTGTATGTCCAAGTGTCCAAATATGTTATCATTTCCCTTCACCCTGAAGAACTTTAGCTTTCTTTGATAGTGTAGATCTGATAATAGAATTTTTTCTCAGCTTTTGTTTCTATGAAAAGGAATTTATTCCACCAGTGATATTGAAGGGTATTTTCAGTGGATATGGAATTCTAGTTGACAGTTTTTCCAGGGCTTTGAAGATGCCATTATATTTTTTTCTTGTGTCTTTTTCAGAGAAGTCTTGCATATATTTTGGTATACTTGTTTCTAGGAGTCTTAACAATATTAATATTAATGTAAATGGTATTTTAACATTAGTTTATCCATTGGCTTCTGCTAGCATGTAGAAAGATAATTGATTTGGATTTTGTATATTGAAGACATTGTAAAATTCACTATTTCTTAAATTTTGTCATCTAAAAATATTTTTTCTTCTTTCCAGTCTTTAATATACTTCCTTTTTCTTTGACTTATAGCAATGGATAGAACACCTTAAATAAAATACTGAAGAAACATGGTGATAGCTTATATGCTTCTCTTGCTAAAAGGTAACAAAATGTTAGAGGCAGTGTTAAAATTTTCATCATTAAACATGATGTTATTTCTCCCTCTCCCTTTTGATAGATATCTTCTATTGATTTTATCATTTTTTTTGCATTCACTGAGTTGATCATTTAGTTTTTATGTTTTTAATGTGGTAGATCACATTGGTCTTCCTCCCTCTCTCCCTCCCTCCCTCCCTCCCTCCCTCCCTCCCTTCCTTCCTCCCTTCCTTCCTTCCTTCTTTTGAGAAGGAGAGCGGGGAGAGAGAGGCAGAGGGAGAGAGAGAATCTTAAGCAGTCTCCACACCTAGCATAGAGCCCAACACAGGGCTCAATCTCACATGACTTGAGCCAAAATCAAGAGTTGGATGCTTAACTGAATGAGCCACCCAGGTGCCCCCACATTGATTTATTTTCAAATGTTAATCTATCTTTGCATTTCTGGAATTAGTCATGAGGTATTGTTCTTTCTATTTGTTTTTCTCACAGTATTCTATATTTTATTTGCTAATATGTATATTAGGATTTTTACATCTATGGTCATGAGGGATTTTGGTCTGTAATCTTCTTTTCTTGTAAGATCCTGGTAGAGTTTTAGGATCAATGATATACTATCCTCACAATGGGTTGGCAGGTATTACCTTCTTTTTCTGTTCTCTGGTAGAAATTTGCATAATGTCTTCAAATATGATTGTAGGTTTCTTTTTCTTTTTAATTTCGTCAATTTTTATTGTCTTATTTTGAAGCTACATTAATAGGTGAATAGATATTTAGGATTATCATACATTATGTTGAACTAAATCTTTTATTGTTATGCAGTGTCCCTTTCTAATAAAAATCTCTGATAATTTTTGCTCTAAAGCCTACTCTGTATAATAATTAATATAGCCTTCTTTTTGGTTGGTGTTCACAAGAAATATCTTCTTTTCCAACTTCTTCTTAGACCTGTCTTTATTTAAAGTATGTTTTTAAAATAAATAACAGTGGTGGAAGATGGGGATCCAATCTTATTGTTCTGCATGTTGTGTATCTAGTTTTCCCAGCACCATTTGTTGGAAAGACTATCCTTTCCCAACTGGGTATTCTTGATTCCCTTGTTGAATATTGGCTGACTGTAAATGCAGTGATTTAATTCCAGGCTCTCAATTCTGTTCCATGGGTCTGTATGCCAGTACCATACAGTTCTGATTACTATAGTTTTGTAGTATAGTTTGATATCAGGGGGTGTGATGCCTCCAGCTTTGTTATTTCTCAAGTGACGCAGAGACAGTGCTACCTCCTTACTGACCCTCCTTCTTTTGGCAAATGAAACTGTTATCTCTAGAGTTGCTACAAACATTCTGACTTACCAAGAATATTGAACGCCTCTTCTCTACTATTACTGCAAGGACTCCTGAGAATATAAACTGGAAACAAAAATCATGTTTATTAATACCCAGTCATTATGTTTATATATAAAGAGTAAGAGAATTCTGGAATGCTATAACATGAAGAATAATACCATCTTAATTCTTTAGTGGGACCATTGAGAAAATCATTCAGAAAATAATTCAAAGGTTCCATAGTACAGAGATAGGGAAGTCATGAAGTCTCTGTTCAGTAATGTAACACGTGCATTGGAAATGGAAGGAGGGGCACCTCAAGTTGACTTCATAGGGCAAAAGGAGTGTCAAATTTTATTTAGATTTTTGTCAGTAATAATTTATTGATCCCATAAGGTGAATTACAAGAAAATATATCCAGTTAATGAATTTACTAATAGACAATGTTCTATCTTGGTGATTTCACATTCAAGTACTTTTAATATAATGTTTAAAATATTTTAATAATGGAAAATATAATTTAGAAAATATTTAAGTTCGTTTTACATATTTAAACATAAGATCACATAATGTCTTCCATGAGTAGATTGTTCTGAAACCTTCCATCATCTCCTAAAACTTGTTAGAAACATGACAAGGTGTATCAGAAATTTATTTTTTTCATTGGTACAACTTTATGCATGCATGGAAACTTCCTACAATTTAAAAAAATTAACTATTGAGTTAGTAGTAAAGGGAAGGAATGTTCTTTCCAGGGAAATGGGGCCATTAACATGTTAATACTAAGTAGCCTTTTGGGGTCTGGAGGATCGAAATTTGAATTCTTTGCACTTTGCCTTCTATGTGACTTAGGAGGAATTACCTACCCTATCATTAGTTTTGCTTTTCTCATTGATAAAATGGGGATTTGTATTTTCTACCTCTCTGTGTTACTGTGTTGTTGTAATAATTACATATAGAGGAATTCACTGAATGATTTATAGCCAGCTTTGTCCTACTAGCTTGCACCTAAGGCTCAGAACTATATTTTCCAGAATTCCCTTCCTTATGTGGTCCCTGAAAGTATTGTAATACTCCACACTGGAAGCAACCTAAATGTCCGTCCATTCTATTACTTAAACATAGTAGATTAATATAATGTAATGTTAATCAGCAATAATAATGAATGAATGATTGCTGTTTCAATAACAAGGTTGGGACTCACAATCCTAAATTGAGCAAAGAAGCCAGATACAAAATAATACATACTATACATATATAAGTTTAAAAACACTTAAGAGTAATATATCTGAAGTCAGGTTAATGGTTAGGGTAGGAGGGAGAAAGAAGGGACATGAGAGGAACTTCTGAGATGCTAGAATTTTGCTAATTTTTTTTGACCTGGGTGTTGATACACTGATTTATTAATTTTGGGATAATTGAGATGTACAATTATAATTTTAGATTTTTGTGTATGTATGTTTTATTTATATGTTAAAAAATTTAAAAACAGGATAACAAACAATAGCACCTAACTCACAAAAATTCTCTCCAACAGCCTTAGATAATTCAGAAAATTAATATAGATGCTAATGTACTAAATCTAATTCACTGTCAGCAACTTTCTTTTGGAATATCTTACACTCAGTGGCAAAACTTAGAATTTTTTCTCTCATTAAAATTTTGATTCAATGTTTTAATAACTCCATGCACATATTAGTGATCTAATGTCTTCGTGATTGTAATATTATTTGAGATATTAATACAATTGACTCATCTGTTCTTTGCTTAGAACCTACATATTTGGTACTTTTAAAATTGAATTAAGGCCCTCATTTTTGTTATCTGAATTATGGTGGCCTCCTAGGTTTCTCAAATCTAATCTCTTACTACTCATAGAATGATGACTAAAACAATCTAACCATGGCACTATCTTCAGTCAGAATATTACTGCTCAGGGCTGTCCAGTAGAAATATGATGCAAGGAATATACATAATTTTAAGTTTTCCAATACACATTAAGTAAAAAGAAATAAGCAAGTGTTGGCAAGAATGTGGAGAAAAGGGACTCTTTGTGCATTGTTAATATGAATGTAAATTGATACAGCCTCTGTGGAAAATAGTATGGAGGTTTCTCAAAAAATAAAAAATGGAAATATCATAGAATACAGTAATTCCACTACTTGGTATTTACACATAGAAAACAAAAACACTAATTTGAAAAGATATATGCACCTTTATTCTTACTGCAGCATTATTTACAATAGCCAAGATATGAAAGCAACCCAAGTATTCATTGATACATGAATAAAGAAGATGTGTGTGTGCGCACACACACACGCGCACGCACATGCACAATGGAATATTACTCAGCCATAAAAAAGAATGAAATTTTGCCATTTGTGACAACATGGATGGATATAGAGGGTATTATGCTAAGTGAAATAAGTCATACTGAGAAAGACACATAGATATGATTATACTTATATGTGGAATCTAAAAAACAAAAGGAACAAACAAAAAACCAAACAGACTCTTAATACAGAGAACAAACTGGTGGTTGCCAGAGGGGAGTTGGGTGGGGGATGGGCAAAATAGATGAAGGAGATTAAAAGGCACAAATTTCCAGTTATTAAATAAATAAGCCACAAAGATGAAAAGTGCAGCATAGGGAATATAGCCAATAATACTGTAATGATGTTGCCTGATGACAGATGGTGACTACACTTATGGTGAGCACTAAGTAATGTATAGAATTGTTAAATCAATATGTTGTACACATGAAACTAATATAACATTTTATGTCAATTATACTTCACTAATAAAAAAATGAAGAGAATTACAAAAGTGTAAAAAAATTGCAATAAAATGATTATGTTCCAAAGATTTAATTTTACATAAATATAACAAGAAATAAAAGTAAAATTACAAAAGTAAATATAAACATGTGAAATTTATTTTAATAATTTGTTTTATATAATCCTATAGATCCAAAATATTGTCATTTCAACATAGAATCAGTTCAAAATTATGCTATATTTTACATTCTTTTTATGCATATTAAGTTTTTGAACTCTGGTGTATATTTTACATTACAGCACTTCTCAGGGTGGTTTAGCCCCATTTTGAGTGACCAGTCACAATACTTGTGACCAGTGGCTGCTATACTTGACAGTGCAGCTCTAGTCCTGGGTCATCTCTATTTTCACCCACTTCCTTGGTGATCTCAACCAGTTTTATGGGTTTCAAACATGTTTGCCAGTGACTCCCAAGCTCCTATCTGAAGCCTAGCTCTTTCTTCTGAACTCTAGATTCCATATCTAACAAGCTACTCACGATCTCCAGTTGAATATTAAATAGATATCTCAAACTCAGCAGGTTCAAAACAAACTCATTATCTTCCCTAAAAACCAGGTCTACCCACAGTCTTCACTGTATCAGTTGATGACAGTCCATTCTTTCTATTAGCTTAAACCCAAACTTGAGCATTCCCCTTAAATTCTTTCTCTTATATTCCACACCAATCCATCAAGATATTCAATTAACTCTTAAAATTATGTTATTTTTAACCACCCTCACTACTACCAAGCCTGTTTGAGTCTCATCTGGATTTCTTCAGGAGCTTTCTAAAAGGTCTCCTTGGCCCCCTTCACTATCTTTTCAACATAGCAGCCAAAGGGATCCTTTTAAAACTTAAACCAGCTTATTTAACTCTGTTCATCAAACACTACAGTAAGTCCAGTTTCACATACACTAAAAAGCCAAATCCTTACAATGGCTCTTGGAGTCTATGTTATTTGGCCCCATTATTTTTCTGACCTCTTTTTTCTACTCTTGTTCTTTCTCACTCGGCTTCGGCACTCCTGGCCATACTTTTTTAAGGAGCGTTGCAGGCACATCAGTAATTGAAGACTTTGTTCTGGCTGTTTCCTGTCCTAGAATGTTCCCACATTTGGCAAAAACTCAATTTTTTGAACATTTGCTCAAATATCGTTGTGGTATTTTGAATTATTGGCCACAATTCTTTACTTCCAGGCGGTAACGTATTTCCATAATCTTGCCATGGTCTTATGGTGGTTGGACTATATTTCTCCGTCCCTCAACTTACAACTTGGCCATTTTATTTGCTTTGGCTAAGATGTTAGCAGATGTGAGCCAAACCAGCTTGAAATGTTCTGGTGTGATTAGGCTTGTCCTCTTGTGTTCCTGCCTTTTATTGTGAGAAGAATATGCCTTCAGTAGTCAGTAGTCTAAAGAGGATGAGATACATATGGAATAGATCTGTATCTGACCTGTAGCTTGAGCCAAGCCTGATTGGTACCAGCCTAGATCACTTGATTTTCTGCCAACTTACAGATACATGATTAAGAAATAAATACACTTGGGGTGCCTGGGTGGCTCAGTCAGTTAAGCACCTAACTCTTGATTTCAACTCAGGTCATAATCTCAGGGTCCTGAGATCAAGCCCCATGTTGGGCTCCAATGTTCAGTGTGGAGTCTGCTTGAGATGAGATTCTCTCACTCCCTCTCCCTCTGCCTCTCCCCACTCCGTGCTCGCTCTGTGTCTAAAATAAATAACTAAATAAATCTTAAAAAAAAAACTTAAAAAAAATAGAGTTGACCCTTGAACGAGATGGGTTTGAACTGTGCAGGTCCACTTACACATGGATTTTTTTTTGGGTAAGTACAGTACAGTACTGTAAATATATTTTCTCTTCCTTATTATTTTCTTAATATTTTCTTTTCTCTAGCTTACTTTATTGAAAGGATACAGTATATGACACATATACAAAGTACATGTTAATTGACTGTTTATGTTACTGATAAGTCTTCTGGTCAATAGTAAGCTATTAAGTTTTGGGGGAGTCAAAAGTTATATGAAAAAAGAAAAAGATTTTCTTTTTTTTTCCTTGAGTATAGTTGACACACAATGTTACATTAGTTTCAGGTGTACAACATAATGATTTGATAAGTTTATACAATATGCTATGTTTACAAGTTGTAGCTACCATCTGTCACCATACATCTCTACTACAATAATACTGACTATATTCCTTATGCTGTGCCTTTTATTCCCATGATTTATTCATTCCATAACTGGAAGCTTGTATCTCCCACTCCCCTTTACCCATCTTTCCCTCCCCCCAACCCTCTCCCCTCTGGCAACTATCAGTTTGTTCTCTGTATTTATAGGTCTAAGCCTGTTTTTTGCTTGTTTATTCATTTTTTTTAGATTTCACTAATGAATGAAATCATATGGTATTTGTCTTTCTCAGTCTGACTTATTTCACTTAGCATTATACCCTCCAGGTCCATCCGTGCTGTCTTATATGGCATGTTCTCATTCCTTTTTATGGTTGCATAATATTTCTGTGTATGTGTGTGTGTGTGTGTGTGTGTGTGTGTGTGTGTGTGTACCACATCTTCCTTATCCATTCATTTATTGATGGACACTTAAGTTGCTTCCATATCTTGGCTATTATAAATAATGCTTCAGTAAATACAGGGTGATTATATCTTTTTGGATCAGTATATTTGTTTTCTTTGGGTAAATATCCAATAGTGGAATTATTGGATCATATGGTATTTCTATTTTTAAATTTTTGAGGGACCTCCATGCTATTTTTCACAGTGGCTGTACAAATTTACATTCCCACCAACAATGCAAAGGGTCCCTTTTTATCCACATCCTCGTTAACACTTGTTATTTCCTATCTTTTTTATTTTAGCCATTTTAACACCAGTAAGGTGATATCTCATTGTAGTTTTGATTTGTATTTTCCCTGATGATTAGTGATGTTGAGCATCTTTTCATGTGTCTGTTGGCCATGTGTATGGCTTCTTTGGGCAAATGTTTATTCAGATCCTCTGCCCATTTTGTAATCGAATTGCTTATTTTTTTGGTGTTGAGTTGTGTAAGTTCTTTATATATTTTGGATATTAACCCCTATCAGATATATCATTTGCAAATATCTTCTCCCATTCAGTAGGTTGTCTTTTAGTTTTGTTGATGGTTTCCTTTGCTGTGAAAAACTTCTTATTTTGATGTAGTCTGAATAATTTGTTTTCATTTCCCTTGCCTTAGGAAACATATCTAGAAAAATGTTGCTAGAGCTAATGTCAGAGAAATAACTGCTTATGCTCTCTTCTAGGATTTTTTATGGTTTCAGGTCTCACATTTAGTTTTTTAATCCATTTTGAGTTTATTTTTAAAAAGTGGTCTAGTTTCATTCTTCTACATGTAGCTGTCCAGTTTTTCCAGCATCATTTATTAAAGAGACTGTCTTTTCCTCATTGTATATTTTGCCTCCTTTGCCACAGATTAATTAACCATATAATCGTGGGTCTATTTCTGGGCTCTCTATTCTGTTCCATTGATCTATGTGTCTATTTTTGTCCTGGTATCATACTGTTTTGATTACTACAGCTTTGTGGTTTATTTTGAAATCTGGTATTGTGATACCTCCAGCTTTGTTTTTCTTTCTTAGGATTGCTTTGTCTATTCAGGGTCTTTTGTGGTTTCATACAAATGTTAGTATTACTTATTTCTAGTTTTGTAAAAATTGCTGTTGGTATTTTGATAGGGATTGAATTGAATCTCTAGATTACACTGAATCTATAGACATTTTAACAATATTAATTCTTCCAGTCCATGAGCATGGTATATCCTTCCATTTATTTGTGTTGTCTTCAATTTCTTTCATCAGTGCTTTATAGTTTTCAGAGTACAGGTCTTTCACTTCTTTGGTTGAGTTTATCCTAGGTTTTTGTTTTTGTTTTTTCATGCAATTATAAATGGTGTTGTTTTCTTAATTTCTCTTTCTGCTACTTTGTAATTAGTATATAGAAATGCTACTGATTTCTGGATATTAACTTTGTATCCTGTAAGTGTACTGAATTCATTTATTACTTCTAGTAGTTTTTGGTGGAGTCTTTAAAATTTTCTGTGTATAGGATCATGTCATCTGCAAATAGTGACAGTTTAACTTCTTATTTACCAATATGGATGCTTTTTATTTCTTTTTCTTGTCTGATTGCTGTGGCTAGGACTTTCAGTACTATGTTGAATAATGTATGCAGATTTCCAATACACAGGGGGCCAGTGTCCCTAACCTCCACATTACTCAAGGGTCAACTGTACTTTTGGTTGTGTGCCACTGGGTTTTGTCATGGTTTTTATATAACAATAGATTACTAATAGTAATTTTTTCAATGAAGACTACCTCTACCATCCAATTTAAAACAATAACCTATACCCTTTTGCTACTTTCTCAGAACCTTCATTCCCCCTTACTCTACTTTTTCTTTTTTACTTCTATAGCCTTATCATCTTCTAACACACTACCTCTGTTAAAGTAAAGGTCTCTAAAGTCTGGGATCTGTTTTGTTTGCTGATATATTTCAGGCACCAAGAACAGGACCTGACACATAGTGGGTACACAGTAAGTACTGGTTGACTGACCAAGTTTCAAGTGTATTATTATTATTATTATTAAGATTTTCTTTTTTATTATGTTATGTTAATCACCATACATTACATCATTAGTTTTTGATGTAGTGTTCCATGATTCATTGTTTGCATTTAACACCCAGTGCTCCATGCAGAACGTGCTCTCTTTAATACCCATCACCAGGCTAACCCATTCCTCCAGCCCCCTTCCCTCTAGAACCCCGAGTTTGTTTTTCAGAGTCCATAGTCTCTCATGGTTTGTCTCTCCCTCCAATTTCGCCCCCTTCATTCTTCCTTTCCTGCTATCTTCTTCTTCTCCTTCTTTTTAACATATAATGTATTATTTGTTTCAGAGGTACAGGTCTGTGATTCAACAGTCTTACACAATTCACAGCGCTCACCATAGCACATACCCTCCTCAATGTCTATCACCCAGCCACCCTTCCTTCTCACCCCCCACCACTCCAGCAAACCTCAGTTTGTTTCCTGAGATTAAAAATTCCTCATATCAGTGAGGTCATATGATACATGTCTTTCTCTGATTGACTTATTTCACTCAGCATAATACCTTCCAGTTCCATCCATGTCATTGCAAATGGCAAGATTTCATTCCTTTTGATGGCTGCATAATATTCCATGTATATATATACCACATCTTCTCTATCCATTCATCTGTCGATGGACATTTGGCTCTTTCCACAGTTTGGTTATTGTGGACATTGCTGTTATAAACATCAGGGTGCACCTACCCCTTTGGATCCCTACATTTGTATCTTTGGGGTAAATACCCAGTAGTGCAATTGCTGGATCGTATGGTAGCTCTATTTTCAACTTTTTGAGGAACCTCCCTACTGTTTTCCAGAGTGGCTGTACCAGCTTGCATTCCGACCAACAGTGTAGGAGGGTTCCCCTTTCTCTGCATCCCTGCCAACATCTGTCATTTCCTGACTTGTTAATTTAACCATTCTGACTGGTGTGATGTGATATCTCATTGAGATTTTCCCTGATGCCGAGCAATGTTGAGCACTTTTTCATGTGTCTGTTGGCCATCTGGATGTCTTTGAAAAAATGTCTGTTCATGTCTTCTGCCCATTTCTTGATTGGATTATTTGTTCTTTGGGTGTTGAGTTTGATAAGTTCTTTATAGATTTTGGATACTAGCCCTTTATCTGATATGTCATTTGCAAATATCTTCTCCCATTCTGTCGGCTGTCTTTTGGTTTTGTGGACTGTTTCTTTGGTTGTGCAAAAGCTTTTTATCTTGATGAAGTCCCAATAGTTCATTTTTGCCCTTGCTTCCCTTTCCTTTGGTGATGTTTCTAGGAAGAAGTTGCTGCGGCTGAGGTCAAAGAGGTTGCTGCCTGTGTTCTCCTTTAGGATTTTGATGGACTCCTGTCTCATGTTTAGGTCTTTCAACCATTTGGAGTCTATTTTTGTGTGTGGTGTAAGGAAATGGTCCAGTTTCATTCTTCTGCATGTGGCTGTCCAATTTTCCCAACGCCATTTGTTGAAGAGACTGTCTTTTTTCCACTGGACATTCTTTCCTGCTTTGTCGAAGATTAGTTGACCATAGAGTTGAGGGTCCATTTCTGGACTCTCTATTCTGTTCCATTGATCTATGAATCATCAAGACAGTATGGTACTGGCATTATTAAGATTTTCACTCAGGATTTTGTGGGGACAAAGTTGCATCATCCACCATACTCTCAGACACAATAAAATTTTCTTCAGAGATTTCTTTTCAATTCCGCCAAATGCTTCTTGGACCAACAGAACAAAAAGATTTCATTTTTCTTTCCCTACATAAATTCTATATGTCCCACATTTCCTTAGCAATTATGCTCTCTCATCTTACTTGCCCCACTGGCAAAATAATTGACCCATGGGTAGTGAAACAGTCATCAACCATTTTCTATTTTCCCCAAATGCCCCTTGTGCATCTTACTATTGTTCCCCTTATCCAAGAAGCATGTAAAGTGTCCCTTTAACAAAGACATACTCTTATTATGAAAAAATATCACTGGTATGAATCTAGGTTTTTTTCATACTGATATATTTCTTTTCAACTAGATATAAGAATTCATTCATTGAGAATAGGGATTGCAAATTTTTTGTGTTCTATCTCTGACACACTGCTTGGTTCAGAAACAGTTATTAAATATGATGAATAAATTAATGAATAACAACGAGGGAGTAGATTATTCACTTACACATGCAGATGACCAATATGGGTATCCTGTTACTGTCGAGAGAGGAAGATATGATTTTCCAAATGCAGAAGTTTGTGAGAGAAACAAATATGTCCAGAGCAGTCCCACGCCGTGAATATTCAGACCAATCATTATTTGTATGGCCTGGGAGAAAAGAATGCCACTAATTACTTACTACTATTCTGGTCCTACCTTTGAAAGGAACAAAACATCAAGAAAAAGTAAAGATGGAGAAGGAAGGTGACAACCTAACATGATTTTAAGATTCTCAACATTTAATTCAAATGAAGAGGCTTTGTTATATTTTAGTGCAGTTTTCAGATACAGTGACTATTTCCATGCCCCATAAAACTTTACTAGGAGCTTGTTTATCTACTTGGTTCAAGAGGTCATATGGCATGAGCCCTGGATCCCTGGAAGAATTGATCTCCCTCAATATTCATCAGTCACTATGTGGTCAATAATCCATATCCGCAGATATAGCTCTTAGGTTCTATAGGTTGCCAGGCTTGGTATTTCTGACCTTACCTGTCCTTCTCTCATCCTCCCCAAATTGGGATTTGGACTTTGATTCCTTTTGTTCTACCTACCCTCAAGTCATCTGTAACTATGGTTTATAGCTGGGTCCTCAGTCCTTTATAAACTAGAGTCAAAGAAAGATAGTGAACCCTTGGGATTCCTGGTTTTTTATAACTCTTCCTAGGAACCATTGCCAGGTGTGGAGTTTGAGGAGGATCTCTGCCCACTGAAGCAGACCAGCTGTGATAGTTTCTGAATCAATGGAGGAGGAAAATTTGAAGCTTGCTACGTAGAGCCACAACTCACTGTAGGGATTTCAGTTGGTTTTCAGATAGATGTTTCTCAGGCCTGCCTCCTTCTGGCACGGCTGAATAAACCACCCCTCCCTACATCCCTACCACCCAAACACAGGAGTTAAGCCTGAAAAAAACCTGAAGGAGTTATATTGGAGTTCAGAAACTGGCATATCTTGCCTTGCTCATATTTCTATGATGCCTGGGGACACTGATATATTTCTTTCCCACAGATTCTCTTAAACAGGATAACTTTAACTTGAAGTTTGCAATAAACTTCTGTTCTGGTATGTGATTTTAAGGCGAGCCAAGAAGTGGCTAGTTGGTGGGGATATTTCTCTCCTTTAGAGAGTACTCTGCTTTCCAGGCAACACACAAGTATGCATTTAATGGCACTTCTGACAGGTTGTGGCAGGGGGGAGGAAGCAAGGGTACATTGGGGTAGATAGGTGGTGTAGAGTTTCATAGAATACAGTGAACTTGTCTGAAGTCTGAGTTTGGTGAAGGATATAGGATCTTTAAAAACTTTTATTTTTAAATAATTATAAATTCACAGGAATTTGCAAAAATAGTACAGAGAGGTCCTGTGCACCCTGAACCTGGATTCTCCCAATGGTTACATGTTATGTAACTTATAGTACAATATCAGAATGAGGAACTAGACCTTGGTATAATGTCTGCCTCAGGCAGAAACATGTTTCCTACCCCCCGAAATCACTATCAATAGGCTGGGATGACACGACAAACTCTTAGTAGAAAATATAGAGGAGGCAAGCTTCATGACATTGGATTTGGCAATGATTTTTGGAAAAAATGGATGAATTGAAGTACATCAAAATATAAAACTTATGTGCATCAAAGAACACAATCAGCAGAGTGAAAAAGCAACCCACAAGATGGTAGAAAATTTGTGAATCATATTATCTGATAAGGAGTAAATATCCAGAAAATATAAAGAACTCCTCATGCAACAACAGCAACAAAAACATACAATCCAATTAAGAAATGGGCAAAGGACTTGACATTTCTCTAAAGAAGATACACAAATGGCCAATAAGGACACGAAAAGATGCTCAACCTCCTAACTAATTGTTAGGGAAATGCTAATCAAAACCACAGTAAGGTACCAGTTTATACCCATTAGGATGGCTATCACCAAAAAAGAATACAAGTGTTGAAGAGGATGTGAAGAAATTGGACCCTTTGCACACTGTTGGTGGGGATGTAAAATGCTACTAATGCTATGCAAAGTTTCTCAAAGGTTAAACATAGAACTATATGACCCAGCATTTTCATTCCTAGGTGTGTATATTTATACACACTAAAAGGAACTCAAATAGATATTTGACACTTATTTTCATAGTGGCATTATTCACAATAGCCAAGTGTCTATTGATGGATAAATGGATAAACAAAGGGTAGTTATACATACAATGGAGTATAATTCAGCCTTGAAAAGGAAGGAAATTCTAACATAAACTACATCATGGATAAACCTGGGAGACATTATACTAAGTGAAATAAGCTAATCACAAAAGAACAAGTGCTACAAGATTCCACATATCTGAAGTACTAGAGCAGTCAAATTCATAGAGACAGAAAGTAGAATCGTTACTGCTAGGGGCTACAGAGAGGGAGAGAGAATGGGGGAGTTATTGTTTAGCAGGTATAGAGTTTTAGTTTTGCATGATGAGAAGAGTTCTGTGGAGGGACAGTGGTGATGGTTGCCCAACAGAGGGGATGTACTTAATGCCCCTAAACTATACACTTAAAAATGGGTTTGATGGCAAATTTTATGTTTATGTATTTTAGTAGAGTTTAAAAAACATGTCACTTAAATCTTTTGCTTCAGCAAATCTTCTCTTGTACTGTGTTGGCAAGGACATGGAGGCATGGCTTTGTTGCTGCTAGGTGGGAGTTTGGTACTCTATTCAGCCTATATTGACACTGTGGGAGCTCCTTAGGGCTCCCCACTAAGCCTCTGCTGATATCACCATGGCTTGTGATAGGGTCACCACATTATTGCTTCCCCATGTGGCCTCTACTGACACTGGGGAGGTTGGGATAGGGGGCTCGTTCCTGCTGAGAGATGATGATGGTCTTAGTCTCCTACTTAGTTGCCTCCTGACACCAGCCTGAGGAAGGGGAGGGGCCTTGTTATAGTTAGGTGATGGGGTGATGGTGAAAATCTAGGTTCCTGCGGGGTCTTTGTTTATGGAGGTAAGAGTGGGGCTATAGTTTTTCCTATGGTGTGTTTGGCTAGAGTAGGGCAGTTATTGTCTAAAAGTTTTCTGCTTTTCTAGGCTGTCCTTTTCTTGGATCTATGATGGGCTTTTTTTTTTTTTTTTTGCCTGTGCTTATTAGTGTTTCTGGTTATAGGCTTTGTGAGCACTCAGTTTTGGATAAAGCAAAAAACCAAAAACCAAAAACCCACCAAACCAAAAAAAAAAAAATCACAAAAGACCCAGGAAACTCACCACCATATCATTCCTTGGATTCCAAGGTCCCTAACTCTTCTGCCTCCTCTGTACCTTTCAGAGTCGTCTTATATTTGTCCAAAGTTTTAGCTGTAATTAGTGATAGAAATAGGGAGAAGCGCATCTACTTCATCTTGTCCGGAACTGGAAGTTGGAGTTTTATTGAATGAAATGAGACTTGAACCCTTGGGTAATGGTAGATTTCATTAGAAGGGTAGTAATGTGGCCAGTAACAGACCTTTTATTCTCAGACACACTTTAACTATTTCTTCTCAATACCCAGACCAGATAAGTGGGAAAGGGGGTTAGGAATCAAAATCTTTAATATCATAATATTGGGAATGAGGAGAGGAAATTTTGGGTTCATTGCTTTCTTATGTAAAGTTTTAGTTCAATTCTACAGAGGATTGGGTAGATCTTACATAAGTGAAGGCAATAATAGACGTGAGATGTTGGGAATATCCTTGGACCAAGGTTTAATCCTGTTGGTTTGATTCCTAACCTGGCTCTTATCACCCAGCAATACAGGTAGATAATGCAAAAGGATATAACCTGCTAACATTTGATGGGAGCTGATTGGGAAACAGTGGCATGTCTGGCGGATGAAGTCAAGAACATAGTACCATTATGATCACTGTCCACAAAGCTTTATGTCTGCACCTTCTGAATATAATTTCCACAATCTGACCATCTCATTTGGGACCATGTTATCATTAGCTTAGCGTGAAATAATTTATAGATGCCCAAAAGGGATTTTCTACCCATTTCCAGACTCAGAGTATATTTTCTGGGAGTATGATGAGGTTGTGATGGCTTGGGGTTATTTAAATGTAGTTGATAGATTAATAATCTCTGCTTTATTTAACTTTAGCCTGACATACAGTTTATCTGATCAGGCTGCATGTGGAAAATGCAGGTATTACATAACTCTTAACTCTCCTCCATTTGGAAAGGTCATAATAGAGGTGGTTAAAGTCTCATTAGTCTGTAGTAATTTACTTGTTCAAGTAGCATTTAGTTCTTACCCCCAACAATCTTGTTTCCTCTCTTATCCACAGATGATGTCTTGGCATTTTTCACTAAAGATACAGAAGAGAAATGAAAGGATAAATGTGTTTCTCTTTGTAGGAAAATATGAGGACAAATTAATACGATACTTAAAATCAAGAGGAAAATCTACTTCTAGAGCTGCTGATTTTTGTAGTCCCCTGAGAGATGTTTTTCATCAAACCATCAACTTGAAAAAAAATCCAATAATTATTTCTCAAATAGCTTTATTCATTTGTCATCCTTAACTTGGACTGTAGCAAACTATATGGGGTGGCTGCTCTGATCCATCAATCCCTCTAGAAATTACCCATATCACCGCATTCATGAGGTCTGGGAAATTGGACTTTTGTTTGCTGTGCTTTATTCTCTTACTCCATGCTATTTCTTTCCAAATTAAAATCTGGTGGAGGGGCACCTGACTGACAGAATCCATTCACATGCCTTTCTCGCCTGCAAGGGAAACTGAGAAATAAAGTGTCATATATTCTATTTTGGAAAGGTGGCTTCACAAGGTAGGGACCTACAAAAATGTAGGAGGGATGTTCAATAGATAAGCCAACTAAAACTCATAGATATCTATTATTAAAATTGTGGATAACCTTTGAGATTTCTGTAGAACTCCTATCAGTCCTCCCTAAAATGCATATTTAATATGCATGAGAATATTAGAGAATTTTTCCTGATTGGGCCGAAGGTGAACATCTAACTCAAATTGGGTCCATAATGGGTTGTTTGAGCTGGTCTTCTAATGAGATCTAAAACCTTGGGAGCTATGGTTTGTCATGCTCCACCGTAATGGACAAAATGGTAGAGAAGGTGAGTTTTGAGTGTGAGATGAACAGAAAAGACACTCAACGACATGAAGACAGGGAGAAGGAGCAGAACTTCCTGAATTTCTGATGGCTTTCAATTTTCTCCTTCCAGTTTCTTTTGGAAAACTGACTGACTTCTTGCCCTTATACTGTGTAAACATATCTGTTCATATATTACAATAGTTATATCTTCATTTTGCTAAAACTAGTAAGAGAGAGTTTCTGATTCTTGCAATACAAGTCTTCTTCTTCTTCTTCTTATATTATTATTTAATAGCCTTGTCTTCAAACTTTCCTCACATGGCTTTGAGAATCTGCTCTCCAGAATCTCCAATGTCTGAGGGCTCTTCTTTTTTCTTCAACCTCTTGTCTATAACCATACCTTAAGTCCAAGACCTGTCTTCAAATTTCTCACTTACAAACTTTTCCTTCCATTTACATAAACCTGCAAATCTTACAGTTTGAGTTGCCCCCCCGCCCCCGAGATGGACTATTGACGCTTGAAACTCAGAAAATGTGGAAAGGTATAGTGGAAAGAATCAAGCTGAAGTTCAAATTTTGTCCTTCACCAGTTACTACGTGGCCTTGCCCATATCATTCATTCTTTCAAAGATTGTTTTCTCAGCAGCAAAAACAAAACAAAACAAAACAACCCAAACCCCAAAACCAAACCAAAACAAACAAAAAAAAAAACCCAAGCCAAAAAAACCCTGTAGGATCGTGTTGGGGAGCGAATAAGAGAAACTGGCACAACACTGAAACTCAAACAAGAACTAGCACTGGGAACGCCTTTCAGAGTGGTCTGCACCAACCACCACGGATCTCTGCGGTCACTTGATCACAGGGCTAGAGGGGCGTGATCGCACAGGTGGCGCCCTTATGCCCTACCTTTCCGCTCCTCCCGGAGTCCTGGCCGCAGCGCTTGCCCAGTGGGCGCCCTTCTTCAGCGGCGCACCTCATCCCCCCTCGCGCGGATCCAACGCCGCGGTTGTGGTCAAGAGCGTGGCAGGGCGGCGCGGGGCGCCAGGAGCCCCGCGCCGCCACCCGCGAGCTGGGGGCAGCCAAGTTCTGCTGAGTGCAGGCTCCCAGAACACTGGCTGGGTATGAGATGGGGAGCGGAGAGGGCACAGACTAAGCCTTTCCCGCTGGTGTTAGCATGGCACCCTGACGACGGATCTGGGCTGCTCCTGATTTCCCTGGCGGGCTGGGCAGAGACATCTCCATCAAACAAATATCCTCCTCTCCACTTTTCTGCTAGGTTAGCGTCAGCAAAAGTCCTTTCTACTTTTAATTTCCGCACAGCGTAGAGGAAAGAGTACTGGTCAGCAAACCTGGGTTTTGGTCCTTAACTCTCCTTTTTATTAGATACATGAATGCCTGGGCAAAATATTTCTCTTCCCTGTTCTTCAGATTGTTTCTCTGCACAATGAGATAATCTGTGTTCGGTGTACCTCCCACATTCACACTAATTTACTTTGAAAACCGAAATCAGGTTATACAAGTTTAAAATTTGCCGTAATCAGTTCCTGAACACTAAGATGTTAGATGGGATCATGACCTGAACTGAAGGCAGACCCCTAACCTTCTGAGCCACCCAGGTGCCCTAGAACATTTTTTCTTAAACAAATCACTGAACACTCAGTGTAAGGGCACTATGTCTGACACATAGTAGAAATAAATAAATGAATCAAAGGTCATCCACTCAAATTCTCTTGGTTTATACTGAGTCCCAGCTTATGAGAATAAATGCTTTGCTTTGATGGCTAACTAAACGGAACCTTAAGACAGGGAGCGGAATGAACGTTTTTTGAGGCTTTAGGTATCAGATGTTTTACACATTGTATATTTTATTGAGCAAATTATTTGTTAAGCATCACTGTGAGTCAGGTACTATTCCACATATTGGGGCTAAAGCAGTGAAGAGAATACATGTATGTCCCTAAACCTCACGGGGCTTATCTTGGAGGTGGGTATGGTTGGAGGAGACAAATACCAGTGTTAAGAAGTCAGGGAAATGAATATGACTCAGCATAGGAGACGAAAAGCATGGCCACCAAAGGACCTGAAGCGCTCTGGAATCTGATGAAGAAAATGCAAAATTATGGTAAAAGCCTCCTGGATGGTCAGTTAAGATGAGCACTGAGCATTGGTCATTAGATTTTGCAATATGAAGATCCCTGTCGTCATTGGCAAGAGTAGTTTTAGGGGAAAGTGGAGGCCAAACTAACGAATGGATTCAAGAGAGAATAACAGGAGATAATTGGGGAATAGTCAATACATACAGTTCTTCTGAGTTTTGTTTTTAAGGGAAGGAAAGAGTGGGGTTATAGTAGAGGCAGAGAGGGTCAAGAGATTTTTGTTTTGTTTTGTTTTACATAGGAGAGAGAATTACACATTTATATGTTGGTAGGGGTAATCCAGAAGAGAGGGAAAAACTGAAGTCATCAGCTGAGCTGAGGGCACAGTGGGAAGTCTTTTGACTGTGTCCCCCAGAATCTGCCCTCTAGTGTGCACAGACCCCTGTACATTCTCCACCACTTTCTGTACCTTCTTGGCCTGAAACTTAGTTTTCCTTTGAGGATAATACATTTTTTTTGAACATTTGCTCACTCTCTAGAACCATGGATCCTTGGGTAGGGAGAATGAGGAATGCGTTTTCTATGAATTCTGCTGAAACTTTGAGACCCACACTGTTCAGTGCAAAAACCACTAGTCACATGAGGCAATTAGACATTTCAAATGGAGTCTGAGTTGACATGTGTTTTAAGTGTAAAGTGCACACCAAATTTTGAAGACTTGATACGCTAAAAAGAATGTCAAAAGGATAAATATTTTTGACATATTGGGCTAATGAAATTTATTATTAAAATTAATCTCATTCGTTTCTGTTTATTTTCTTAGTGTGGCTACTAGAAAATTTAAAATTGCACATGTGGCTCATATTATACTTCTACTGGATAGCACTGTTCTAGACCTTTTTACTGTCTTATAAACCTCTTCCCTTTCAGCTCTTATCATCTTCTTAATGTCTTTACATTAACATAAAATCCTAACAACTTAACAAGGCCAAAGAAGTACTGCGTTAGCTGGCTCTGTCTATCCTTCCAACTCCATCCTTAATCACCTTCCTTTTTGATTAATGAGTTCTAACCACACCATCCTCTTAAATCAGCCAGTTCTTTCCCCTTCTCAGACTTCCTTCTATCTCCTCCTTCCTTCTATTTCACTAGTCTTCTGACTTTAAAAATGGTTGGCTCAACTTTTTCCTGCTGGTTTCAACCTAAAAATCACATTCTTAGAAAAGCATTTATTTCTTATCTAAAACAGTGCCCACTATACACCCCACCTCTCTTCCCATCATCCTGCTGATTTCTTAAAAAGCACTTCCTAAAATTCTTTCTCTTTTTTAAAACTTATGTATCATTTATCTTCTTTATTTTTCTTATTTTCTTTTTTTTTTCCAGATTTTATTTATTTATTTGTCAGAGAGAGAGAGCGCACAAGCAGGGGAAGTGGCAGGCAGGGGGAGAAGCAACTCTCTGCTGAGCAGGGAGCCCGACATGGGGCTTGATCCCAGGACCCTGGGATCATGACCTGAGCCGAAGACAGACACTTAACCAACTGAGCCACCTAGGCATCCCTCATTTATCTTCTTTAGTTCCATTAGAGTAGGGGTTTTGTTTGTCTTGTTTACACCCAGTGTCTAAAACAAGGGCAGATGCCTAAATCTATGCTAAATGAACATAAGCAATAAAAATGGGTTATATGTATGATAACATAGGAATATTTAATTTTTTAGTCAAAATAGTACAAATGTGGCTTGGCAGTATTAGAAACTATAAGTGTTAATTGTAGGGATTAGAAATAAGTGATTAAATTATCTTAATTTAATTAAGAGTTATTATGGTTAAAACAACTGTGGGGTTTTTTGTTTGTTTACCACTGTGTCTCTTCTTTAGTTTCCAACATTTGGTTCACCCCTAGTTCTCTTTGGACTCTTGTGGACTCCTTTTCCTGCCCTTATATTTTGGTCTTAAATGATATTCTTCCCTAGGGTCCCTTCTATTTTCATTTTCTTCAGAAATCACAATTAGAAAGATATAGAGCTGAACTTAACAATTTAGTTTACAAACTTTAACAGGTTTTATTTATTTGACTAATTCTGTGATTTGGTTTTTTAACTCTGAGGGCCTTTTTGAGGGCCTTTACAGGGGTCTGGGGATCTCTAAGATATCATCTGGCCACTACTTTGTGAAGTTTTATGCCTGGTTTCTTGTGGACATTTGGACTGCTGGACCTGCGCTTCTCCATGGGACATGCTCAGCATGGAGCCTGATGCGGGGCTTGATCCTACAACCCTGAGATCATGACCTGAGCTGAAATCAAGAGTCAGACACTTAACAGACAGAGTCACGCAAATGCCCAGGACCAAGATTTCAGCGTGCCTTTAATCCTGTGCCTGGTGATGGCGTGCCAAATGTCCTTGGTCCCAGGGGAATATATATCAAATAAAGCAGATCTGAGACAGATAATCATACCTACCTACCTCTATTGTCTCAGGAGAGTGAAGATATAGAAAACAAACTTCTAATTTATTCACAGTTTTGTATGGGGAGGTGGTTTTTTCTTTTTTACATTCAATTATAAGCCAAATAAGCAAACAAATAAAACAACAAAGTACTCATTTACCTCAGGATTTTTCAACTTTCTAGAAAACTCTGTAGAGTGAAATTTTCAGTTTTCCAATTATATCAATATATTAGCCCTTCATAGTGGGTTTATGTCCTGATTTACCAGAGAGAAATGAAATACTGACTCTAGCAGTCATAGATGATTAAAACGTTGATTTTATGTCCAGTAAAACTTTGTGCTCACTCCAAGATGCTGAATAGGAATAAAATACTGTTCCATAGCTTGAAAAGAAAAATGTATTATGTATATAAATCTATAAAAATACTGGGGCGTCTGGATGGCTCAGCTGGTTAAGCATCTGACTCTTGGTTTCGGCTCAGGTTATGACCTCATGGGTCCTGAGGTTGAGCCCCAAGTAAGGCTCCATGCTCAGCAGGGAGTCTGCTTGGAGATTCTCTCCCTCTGCTCCTTCCCCCACGTGCTCTCTCTCTCTCTCAATTAAATAAAACTTTAAAAAATATATATATAAATACTTATTTTAAAGTATATAATAATGCAAAATTATAGAAAGTTTATAAAAGAGGAAAAACACCCATAATAGCATGATGATTTTATGAATTATTCATATCAGTATCTTTAGTCAGTTAAAATTTATTATTTTTCTTTTTTTAAGATTTTATTTATTTTAGAGATAGAGATAAAGATAGATAGATAGAAAGAGAGTGCAAGTAGGGGGAGGAGCAGAGGGAAGAGGGACAAGCAGACTGCCTGAGCACAGATCCTGACTCGGGGCTTGATCCCACAACCCTGAGATCATGACCTGAGCTGAAATCAAGAGTCGGATGATTAACCAACTGAGCCACTCAGGTGCCCCAGTTAAAATTTATTATTAATAGGTATTATATAGTATGTGAGATTTAAACTTAAAAATATGCCACAGGGTGTTTGGTGTATCAGACCTGAAAATAATAATTTTCAGCAGAGTGAACTGTTAATCATTTCTCTGTGTAAGTGGATACAAAACGTTATTTTGGAGTGTTAATCTTTTTGGATTCTTCTCTGACCCCATATGTGGTTCTACAGATTTCAGGAAATTCGCATCCAACATACACAGGAAAAACATAACAGAACATTTCTGAGGGGGGCATGGAGAGGACTTGACAAAAGATGCTTTTCCTGGTACTTATTGGGATGTAGAGGTAGCTGTTGAGCAGATAGGGTGAGAGAATTTGCATAGAGGGCAAAGGGTATCTGAGGAGAAAGGAACTAAGATGGTAACACACTTCCTTTGAACCACAGTTATTAGA